ATTTCAGATATTCATATAGCTTTCTCACAAAATTTGTCAATCCTCTCAGCCTTTTTAGATATAAATTCTGCCTATGATAATGTAATAATTTCTATTTTAAAAACTAAATTACAAGCTCTAAATGTACCGGTAATGCTTTCTAATTTCATTATTAATATTTTATCAGAAAGAACAATATATATGAATTTAGATGAAGATACCAAATTATCTAGAACAGTATGGAAAGGCCTTCCACAAGGATCTGTTCTCAGTCCAATCTTATTTAACATATACACATACGATCTAGAATTATTCCTTGATAAATCCGTCAAAATTTTACAATATGCTGATGATCTTTTATTATATTTTATTGCGAAGTCCATAGAATCTGCTTCTGCCAAATTATCTGATTCATTAGATTTGTTAAAAACGTGGTTAGATGCAAATGGTCTTAATCTTTCTGTAACCAAGAGTAGTGTAGTTTTGTTTTCAAGAATGAGATCACCGCAACAAATTAAGGTGCTTTATGATAACTCATACATTCCTATAAAGACTGAAATTAAATTTTTAGGTATCGTGCTAGATAATAAATTAACAGGTCTGTCCCACTGTAATTATATTTCTACGAAATGTGAGCGTAACCTCAACATTCTTAGGTGCCTTGCTGGAGTTTGGTGGGGAGCACATCCCGTTTCACTAAAACTTGCTTATAATGGTCTTATAAGGAGTGTCATTGATTATGGAACTTTTTTGTTAGCTCCAGGAAGTTCATTTGCTTTTAAGAAATTGGATTTAATTCAATCAAAGGCCTTGAGGATTATCTCTGGAGCAATGAAATCAAGTCCAATCAATGCTTTACAGCTCGAAGTCGGTGATCCACCTTTGGTTTTAAGAAGACAATATCTATCTGATCGCTTCTTTTTTCGTTGTTTACAATTATCTGATCATCCGCTTATTCAAAAGTTATCTCAACTACATATCTTTATTTCGTCTTCATCTTATTGGAAACATAAAAAACCTCCATGTTTAATACAAAGTTATGAAAAATATAAATCCATAGAATCTCCCACTTTTACATCGTCCTGTTTTCCCATTTATAAATGCTCATATCAATCTTTAGTTTTATCTCCTAATATTAAATATGATTTTGGGTTATTAAAAAATGATTCAGAATTGAATGCCAAATTTATGTTTATAACTGACATTGAATGGAATGAATGGCACTACATCTTTACTGATGCATCAAAACCAGACAATAGCGGTTGTGTAGGTGTGGGTGTGTTTCATTCACAATTTAATATCGTTCAAAAAATTAAACTTCCACCGGAGTCTTCAGTTTTTACCGGGGAATGTTATGGTATTTTAAAAGCTGTAGAATATATACTTTTAATGAAATTACATAAGGCAATAGTTTTCACTGACTCTATGAGCTCTTTGCAAGCTCTAGCCAAATATCCGTTTAAATCAAAACCAGTTTATCCCATTATTTGTGACATAAGACAAAGTCTTTATCTTTGCATGTTGAGAGGTTATTCCGTTTCTTTTGCCTGGTTACCAGGACACAGTGGTATTAGCGGCAATGACAAAGCTGACCTTATTGCAAGAGAGGCTGTAACTTGTGGTGATATGTATCCGTATCATAATTACTGTAGTGACCTAGCTTGTCTCCCAAAAATATATTTAAGGTATGCCTGGAAGGAATATTGGGAAAAAACAAGTACAATAAAAGGAAGATTTTATCGCCTTATACAACCCGATATTCCTTTCAAACCATGGTTTTGTAAATTAAAGCTTGGAAAGACCGCAACAACTATTATAACTCGTATGCGTCTAGGTCACGTATGCACACCTTCTCATTTATACAAGCTTGGTATTGTACAAAGTTCGTCGTGTAATTGCGGTGCTGAAGTGGCGGACTTGAATCATATATTCTTCTCATGTTCTAAATTTGACCACACCTCCCTTTTTAATCATCTCCGATCCATCCGTGTTCCATTCCCAACTTCTATTCTTACTCTACTTTCTTCCAATGATCCTATTATCTATAAAATACTATCTTCATATATATATGATAACAATATTAAGATTTAGTTATATTACATGAATACATTTATAGTTGCATCAATTGCTTTTCCTATATATTTATAAGTATATTCTCATATGTACAAGTATATGTTTCATATCCTATAAATATCCTAGACCTAATCCTTATCCTTTCTAAATTCGTTTGTGTTAGGTATTTTTATTACTATTATCGTTTCCCCGTTTTGTTCTTGGCAAAATACCCTAATATCGGGGTGAACGCCACAAAAAAAAAAAAAAAAAAAAAAAAAAAAAAAAAAACAGTTGCGTCTAAGATTGTGGGACGTTAGAGGGGCAGATAAAAAAAATAGGTAATTAGATACCTCGTTAGTAAGCGGTAGTTATACCACCCAAGTTAAGGTAATAGGTTAAAACGTGCCGAGGACTGTATGGCATTAGGGTGGATAAAAATGTAATGTCGTAAGCGCTTCACCCTCAAGATTGGGCGCATCTTGTTGTATATTAAGCCTTGCCCCTTTACTAGACTGCGGGGGGGGGGGGGGGGGGGGGTCGACCATCAAAATGCCCCTTAATCGTGGGAACAACATGGTAACAATAAACAAAAAATACCAACAAATATAAATAAGACTGGAGGCTTACCATCAGTACTTCAAATATTTGTAGGTGCAAAAGTAATGTTGCGGTCCAACATTGACGTTACAAAAGGATTGGTAAATGACGCTATAGGACACATTACAGAAATTGTTTGGCCTCAGTTCCGTCGAACCCAAATGTACGAAACAGATATATCATCAGTTTTAATTGACTTTGGCACAGACGGCGTGCACGTTATTTACCCTAAAGCCATACAGTTTCCAGCAAAATTCAATTATGGTACTGCTGAAAAAAGGATGTTGCCCTTAGTTTTGTCATGAGCGTTCACCGTCCATAAAATGCAGGGCAGCACCGTCGACCATGCAGTAGTATATTTGGGCTCAAAATGGTTTGAGGAAGGACAAGCATACGTGGCTCTAAGTCGAGTCAAGTCTCTGGAAGGGCTATGTATTGAGGAATTAGATTGTACTAAATTATCAGGTAAGAAACCATGTAATAATGATGCACTGAATGAATTAAATAGAATGAGGAATATTCGGTAAACAATTTCACTAAATACTAAAAACAAGAAAATAAAAATCGGTAAAAAAACTTTTAAGTTAAACGGTTTTATTTTATGTGCACTGAAAACTACAAAATAAATAAATAGTTACTTACCTATCAACCTACGTAGGTGATCTGGGTCATTAATATCTCTGATGGTAGTGGTTGTCATAACATGAACCATGTCAGCGGCCGAAAGGCAGTTCATGAGAGAACACTAACACCAGGGTTTGCTTGGTAGGTAAACTAAGCAGCCCACACTATAACAAGTAGGTATTTTGACCTTCTAGTTCAGAAATATTTTAGTACTAGGCAGAATAGCTTTTAGGCATATTAGACTAAAATAAAAACGTTTCGCTGGTGAAGCCGTAACGGCTGGTTATTGATGGTCAAAACCTCCAGTTACGATTATAGTAAGTCGATTCAGCGGACCCTGGACTCCGGAGCTATGAGGTTTCGGATGCGACCGGGATAAACCGCTAGGATGATGATGATGACGATTATAATAAGTCGATGCAATCCACACTTAGTATAGTAGAAAGTAATACAGAAATAGTTAATGGGCCCCACGTTTTTATTTTAGTCTAATATGCCTAAAAGCTATTCTGCCTAGTACTAAAATATTTCTGAACTAGAAGGTCAAAATACCTACTTGTTATAGTGTGGGCTGCTTAGTTTACCTACCAAGCAAACCCTGGTGTTAGTGTTCTCTCATGAACTGCCATTCGGCCGCTGACATGGTTCATGTTATGACAACCACTACCATCAGAGATATTAATGACCCAGATCACCTACGTAGGTTGATAGGTAAGTAACTATTTATTTATTTTGTAGCTTTCAGTGCACATAAAATAAAACCGTTTAACTTAAAAGTTTTTTTACCGATTTTTATTTTATTTTAATGTTAAGATTATAAGAATACTGGTAGATATACGGGTTCCCTTTGAACTCCAGTCCAGTAACTCATAGAGAATACCAATAACTCCAGTATTATATTAGTTACAAGTATATATTTGTGATGTAAAATAAAAATGGAGTTGTTGCAATAAAAAAATATTTATTTTTTAGCTATTTTATAAAGGGTATCGAGTCAGTAAAACAACTGTGTCGTCGTAGCCGCAACAGTGAATTTAATGTAAGCATTTTAATAATGGAATTACGGCCACAACTGAGCGCAAAAAAGTTAAACAAAGCAGGCAGTGAGTACCCTTGGGTAATTGTTTTATACTAATAATATTTTGATTAATTCAACTATTTAAGAGCTTATATGGCTCTGAATGTAAATGGATGACAAATGAAAGTGAATGCAGAAATGAGTGTGAATAGAGAGACATGGAAAAAAAATATATTACACCAATGTCAAATAATAATTGGAATAAAGATAAGAAAATAATAATGTTTCTGTATGTAAATGCATAAAATTAACCAAAATCTTTACTAATATTATAAACGGGAAAGTGAGTTTGTTTATTAGTTTATAGCACCTTAACCAGTCACTGAGAAATTTTGTATTCACATACTATATAAGATATAGAAGGATATAGGGTACTTTTATCCCAGTTAGTAAACATGTCCCGGGCACGCGGACGAGCTCACGGGCAAAAGCTAGTATGATTATAATTTTTTAGACAATTTTATTTTTAATTAATGATTTTAATAAAAAGAGACGTTTAGATTGTTTAATAATTATGCATTGTAGAGGAAGATTAATATATGTTTTCGTGTCTATTTAGATAAAGAAACTTTAAATATTCAAGTCATATTTAAATAGAAAATTCAGGTTTAATTTTTGTTATATTTCTAAGTAAATTTGTTTTTGTAAAACTGGTGAATCATCTAACCTTAAATTCCAACACAGTGATTCCTTTCTTGAATCTCCTCTCGACAGGTGCGGCATCTTCGCTGTCTGACTTCGTTATATGCACATTTATATAATCTTGAGTGATAACTTGAATACCTTCCATAATTATATTGAAAATATACGCCGATTTTTGGTGTAGAAAACTTACCGTTCATTCACAATTAGACAATCACAAAGGAAAACATTATATTTGACATAATTGACAATGACAATTAATCTGATAGAACTGACAATTCAAATAGAGGTTGCCAACACAAAATTCTTTGCTACAAGCAAATAAATATATCGTTGTTGTTATCTAGGCTTTCAAATGTCATGAAATGACAAATAAATTAAAACTAAGAATGGTATACAGTGAAGGACGACCAGACTAGATGTAAACAGTGTATGCAAGTAGTTCAGGATGGGAGGGGGGGGGGATTGTTAGCAGTGGAGTTTGACAGCCCCATTACTAACAATATGTTCTATCAGGTCAACCTCCGCGTGGTTCCGCCTGGAAACCATCGTGAACAATTCTCGTTGAATTCGTCACGATGGACTAACTGACCTGTTTCATCCTCGTCTATCATCCTTCACTGGTACTCCGCAAGCGTATACCGTTAGCGCAGGCGGGGTAACCATACCATTTTCACCCATAAAAAAAAAACCTTCCATGAAATAAATATATAAAACAATGTCTTTGAAGAAATTAATATTTATATTTATTTAAATTTAATAGACGTTTGGAGAAATTTGTATGCCTGTGATTTAATGGAAAAAAATAAATAAAGTCTTAACTGTTTTAATGACTACCTTGTTTTCATTATTAGATTAATTTGTATATTTTTATATCAGTTTGGTAAAGAAAACAACAGATCACGGTGTCAAAATTTATTATTAAAACTTCCTCCTCTTCAAGATCTCCGGTCGCCAGTTGATCGGGTGGGTCTCCTCTGAAGCGGATTCGTCCTCTCTGTATATCTTTATAGTTTTGTCAGCCTCTGTGGTGATAAGCCGGGAGCCGGATTGGTCGAATGTCATGGCAAATATGCCCGCTTCCGAGTCCATAGAGCCGGGTTGTACTGCAGACTAAAAAAAAAGTAATTAATTTAAAAAAAGTCCACAATTAAAATAAATCAAAGATCAATTTAAAATAGACTATACTTATTCGGACTGTGAGTTACTTATCACTTTGCTAACCAGCAATTCCATCATGGTTAAAATCTTTGGAATTAAACAAAAATTGTGATAAAAACCTAAATACAAAGTAATTTTTTGGTCGTGAACGCTTTGTCATCCAAAGTCCAAAGTCTTGTCCATCGTGGCAGGAGGACGTACCTACGCGCTAGTGCAATCACTAGTTTTCTCGTCACCCATCAGCAAAGTGTTATGTACCAAATATATAATAGCTGTGTTTCGGTTTGAAGGGTGGGATATGGCGTGAATTTACTGGGTACAGAGGATTAACACCTGAATCCTCAAAAATGGTAATGCATGGGAGATATCATGGGCGAAACAGTATACTCTGTTATGTCCATGGTACTGCTCATGTCTATAGGCGACGGTTACCACTTTCCATCAGGTGGACCGTCAGTTTGTTAGCCATTCTAAGTTGTATAAAAAAAAACATTTAAGAGTAACAAATATTTAAATATTACAAACACAAATATTTTTTTTCTATTCAAAATATCTTGTTTCGTTTATTGAAGATTATGAATGAATGAATTACTTACTTGTAATCTCTGGAAGTTATATCCTGTTCTCCAATCCCAACAGTACATAGTGCCGTTGTCACCACCACTGACCAGTACGCCCTCTGGATTGACAGCCATACAGTTCACTATAGCATTGTGACCGGACAAGTTCTGTATGAATTTCCCCTCAGGGCATTTCCATTGTTTTATATTATCCGGGGAGGCGGAGGCGAAGGAATACAGTGTTGGGTGTATTACGATGGATCTGACTGATTTCTTGTGGTTTGTTAGTGTGCACATTGACTTGCCGGCTGCTAGATCCCACAGCCGGATTGTGGAATCGTGTGAACCAGTTATAATCTGAAAATTGAATATTAAATTTAAATTAGACACAATAAATATAGATACATAGATAGATACTCTTTATTGTTTCCTCCAAAAGATTACAATAGTAAACTTATTATAGATACAAACAATTAGAAGAAAATATTACACTGAGAAAACAATGAACGGTCTTATTGTTAAGAGAGATCTCTTTCAGACAACCTTTGGATCGCCATCATCATTTCAGCCATTATCCGTCCACTGCTGGACATAAACCTACCCAATAGATTGCAATAAAGAACGTTCCTGAGCCACTTGCATCCACTAATTAGTGGACCTGCAACACATTTCAGGTCGTCACTCCACCTCTAGTAGGGGGTCGTCCTACACTACACGACGTGTGTCGTGTTGAGTGCGGCGTGTGTGATGAGCACAGCGGGTGTTGTGTTGAGTGCGGCGTGTGTGTGCTGAGCGCGGCGTGTGTCGTGTTGAGCGCAGCGTGTGTTGTGTTGTGTATCACCTGCGGCTCGGCGGACTGGCAGGCGAGCGAGGCGACGGTGTCGGTGTGTCCGGCGAGCGTGTGCACGTTGGCCTTGGTGCGCATGTCCCACACGCGCGCCGTGGCGTCGCGGCCCGCCGACACCACCACGTCCAGCGTCGGGTGCAGCGCCAGCGCGTACACGGCCGACAGGTGCCCGTGGTAGTGCCGGATCACCTGTGCAATGCATAATATTCATAAGTACATATATGTATACATGGCGGACTTAATGCTAAAAGCATTCTCTCCCACTCAAACATAGGGAAGTGGCAGAATACTCGAATGCGTTACTAGTAATTATTCATATAAAATTATATAAACGAATAAATATATATAAATAATAAATATACTTACTTACACATATACAAAATAATACACTGCAATATGCTGTGTTTGGGTTTGAAGGGTGGGATATGGCGTGAATTTACTGGGTACAGAGGAATAACATCTGAGTTCTCAGATATGGCAGCGCATGGGGGGGTATCATAGGCGAAACAGTATATTCTATTATGTCCATGGTACTGCTCATGTCTATAGGCTATGGTTACCACTTTCCATCAGGTGGGCCATCAGCTTATTTGCCATTCTAAGTTGAATAAAAAAATAAAAAGACTTTTGTACAAAGTTTTCCTCTGGTAACTTCAAAGTCACAAAGGATGTGACTTGAAATTATTACAATGTAAAGCTTTAATTATTGGACAATCGTGATATTTTCATTCACAGTGATAGTAATAATTATAAATGACTTTTTACAAATTATATTAATACCCACACAACTATAAAGTACATGTAAATGTTTACAAATACCTTATTATACTCCAAGTCCCAACATTTCACTTGTCTATCTTCGCCACAACTGAATAAGTATGGATGTCTGGACGATACTTGCAAACCTGAAATAACAAGCATATTTACTTAAATTTTATATTTCGAGAAACAAAAAGAGTATGATGGGTGACATTTGTTTTAAGTAAATACTAAGTTTTTTAATACAGTGGCAACTGACCTCTCACAGTGCTTACATGTCCAGTAAGCGACACTTTCAACTTGCCGCTCGCCAAGTCCCATATTTTTATAACTCTGTCTGCAGCACCTGTTAAATTAATCAATCAAATTTGAATAAAAAAAAAAGGCAGAAAATAGAAATAAATAAATAAATAGAAGATAATTTGTATCAAAATAACCATATATTTTTAGAAAAAAAAAAAACAGAAGAAGAAAAATATCTTTTTGATGTTATTCATGGATTTACATAACAAAAGAGTAGCATGGTACCATTTATTTCCTCTATAGTATCATCGTCATTATGATATCAGTCCACTGCTGGACATGGGGAGCCCATAAGGGAAGTTTTGTCAGTAGCTGTCACACTTAGAAGACGGGTTGGTAACTGCAGTTAGGCTTTTAGAGATGTTTTAAGAGGGAATGCTGTCCATCCCTCGAATTTTAAGTTCCCTTAGACGTCTCTTACGACACTCAGGGGAAAGGAAGGGGTGGTTAATTTTATGGTAGACTCATATTGTCTGGTAGACAGATAGATAGATACTCTTTATTATTTCCTTCAAAAGATTACAGTAGTAAAATTATTATAGATAGATACAAACGATTACAAGAAATGTTCACATTGAGACAGCAATAGTATTTAATTTTTAAATTAAGAAATTAAGAAGAAAAAAAAATCTTACCAGTGGCAAACCATTCATTCCCAGGTTCAACAGCCACACACCGCACCCAGCCCAGATGCCCCGATATCACCCTGAACAGTTTCCATGGCGGGTGCCACTTGGGTTTGGGCATAGCTGGAGCTTTTCGCGGTACTGTGGTAAGAGCACCGGCAGGGGGTGTTGGCGCAGGCGACACTGCTGGGCCAGTGTATGGCAGCATAGCCCCTTCAGACCCTAGCGCTGCTGACTCAGCTATTTCTGAAGCAATAAATTAATGTGAAAGTGAGTTTGTTTGTTACGTTAATGGCTTAACCTATCACTATGAAATTTGGAATACACTTACTACATGGGATAGAGAATATTATAGGCTACTTTTTATTCCAGTCAGTAAACATATCCCAGTGATGCGGACAAAGTCGTGAATAAAAGCTAGTTTTGTAATAAAAGCTAAACAATTTGAAATAATATTATGTAACTTAAAATTATTTATTATTGTCAAGATACTTCAAAAAAAGGACAATGTTCCCTATTCTGTATTTTTTTGTGTGTTTGTATTTTTTTTTTATGTTTGTACATTCTACAGTTTTCTTTCAGCTTCTTAAAGGTTGACTGTAAGAGATCCCTTTATGGAATAAGTCGTTCAATGTAAATTATGTACAATAAAGATTTTACAATATAATACAATACATATTGTTATCTCAAAACTCTGTCAACTATCTAAACTGATATGGAAAATTCTTTTATTTTTCATCGAAAATAATATATATTAATGTAATAACTACCAGTTAAATCGAAAAGGTTTAACTAGTTTCAAGATCAAATAGTGATCCTTATAAAAAATATACTTTCATATTGGTCTCATAGAATGTTCATTGAAATTGGTTTGGTTTTTAAAATCAAAATTTTGCAACACTTGAAATTGGTTTTATTTTTGTGAAATAAATACTGTCATTAAATATATATTTATCAATTGGCTATCTCTTACCAGTGTCACTGATAGGTGTGTCCGCACGTACTAAAGCTTCTTGCTGTTTAACTGTTTGCGCCTTCTGAACTGCTGCCATCACCTGACCATAGCTGTCCCTCACTTTTACAGATTTCAATATTTTCTCACTGAAAATTAAAAACATGTGAACATTATATTAAACATATCGTCATAGTTGTAGAATACTGACGGATCTTTATATGTAATCTTTGTCAGATCCGTCAAAATTCTACGACTATGACGATATTATGATTATCATTATATCAAATAGAATAATTAAATTTTCTATTTAATTAAGAAATTAGTTTTAAGAAAACAAATCTCATTTTATTATATAAATATTGAAGGAAATTTTAAATTAATAGATAAACCTGGTCTAACTATTGTACAAGGACTAGTTTTTAAAAGTTAAATAAAAACATTTTCTATAGATCTAAATTATAAATAGAATTATATATAGAAATTATGGGGGGGATATTGAAAGAATAGTGAAAGTAGGAAATAGTGTTTCCTGCTTTCACACTCCTTCATGGATGAAAGAATTATGAAATAAATTTAGCGAGCAAGAAACAGGCGATATTCTGAAGAAAAGCCAAATTAAAAGTACCCATAACCAGTGAATGTGTATAAAAAGATAGATGAATGTAGAGGATAAAAAGAGGCTTGTTTAAATGCTTTGAGCATTTCATGTTGCATTGTTTCTACAATATATAATGGGTTAACTGACTTGCTTTTTCATTCTCACCTATTATTGCTCACTAGTGTTTTTTTTTTATGGGTGATAATGGTAACCTCACCCGCACTATCGGTATACACCAGGGAGATACCAGTGAGAGACGATAGGTGAGGATAAAGCAGGTCAGTTACCCCATCGTGACAAATTCAACAAGAATTATTCACGATGGTTTCTAGGGGGAACCACATGGAGGTCGACCTAATAAAGTATATTGCTAGCAATGGCTGTCAAACTCCAATGATAACAATCCCTTTCCCCCCAGCTCATTGTTGTTTTACCAACATATAACGTTGGCACATGCAAGGTTACCATTCCATTATCATCCATTAAAAAAAACCATATAACACACTGCTTAGCAGTACAAATACTAGCTCTTCTTTTATATTAAGTCTTCTCCGGTAAACGTAAGATTGTAGTGTTATTAAGTTGGAGAATATTGATAAATGATAAATGTAGAAGTGAGTTAAGTCATGGAATATTGTAATTTTATACCAGAAAGCATATCTTCTCCCCAGGTTTTATAGAGAGTAAAAAATTTTACCAATAACCCACATCGGTAGAATTTTTAACCACACTATCGGAAAATATAATAATAACTTACGCTTTTTCATCTATAGGTGGTAGTAGACTCTGATTAGCGAGGAACATGTCGTGGGATCTCTTCAAAGACCTGAACACCAAGGTGTGCACAGAATGTTTAATAACGTCGTCCCCCATTGTGATATTAAGATACTACAAAGTTCTAAACTAATATAACTGACAAATTCTACAACTGCAATAATTAAAACAAATTATTTTGTCATTATTAAATATCAATTAAGACGAGTACACAAAAAGACCGAATACAAAATAGGAAATAAACTCCACAGATCACAGAGACTGTCTAATAATTCAATTAATCTATTATATTAATGTCAGTATCACTGATATATGTCAACTATAAATTTCTACCATAATGACAGCTGTACATGGTTAACGCCAACAATGTCGAAATCTTTGGGTTAATGCTAAAGTTCAGCTTTTGCCTTCAAACAGTGTAATAATTCCGATAATTTGTATGAACATACTCTATCTATGTAATATAAGGCATCCATTAATATGTCCTGCCAGTGTAACCCGTAAATTAGTTTAGTATTACCATTACTTACCATTCATCCTAGTAATAGCGTTAGGGAATTGTTTGCATATGCGTAAATCTGATATAGTTAATTTAATACAATCATTATATAATATAGTGGAGCTTGGTATAGGTAAAATATTATTATGCGCATTTCCCTACTCTCAATCCCTGACTAATGAACAGAATAAGTTCATTTATAGTATAAATAATTTAATTTATTCGATGACATATCATTGTAATGATATATTTTATTTTGAAAGTAACAATTTTGTTACAAATTATTATATGACGGGAGGTAATTTTTATCTTCCTAAAAAACAAAAAAAGACTATTGCTAGTTTACTAGCGTATAACATTTATGATCCCATTATAAGTAGTATAACGGATTTAATTAGTAATATTAGTAATTATACTAATAATGTGACATGTGTTAATTTAAACTAACATCTACGACATTGGTTAAGCCACAGGATATGGTCATTATTCATCAAAATATTCGTGGCTTCTCCAGCAAAGAATTAGAATTAAGTATTTTCTTAGAATCTAACAATGTACGGGTGTTATGTCTGACAGAACATTGGCTTAAACAATATGAAATAATTTGTCCTTTTGAACATTATAATATAGCTAGTTTTTTTGCTAGGAACAATGCCATTCATGGCGGGTCAATTATTATTTTAAAAAATGATGTAGAATATAAAAACCGTCAAGACATTGTAAATATTTCTATTGAGCAAACAATTGAACTATCTTGCGTAGAATTGTTACTTGTATAATAATTTGCGTTTATCGTCCGCCGTCGGCTTGTTTTGATTCTTTTGAACTGGCTATGGAGGAAGCATTGAGATTTCAATATTTTCGCACGGAGGAATAAAACATTATTTGTATGTGGCGATTTTAATGTTGATTTGTTATCGGAATGCTCAATAAGCTTAAGATTGATTAACTTATTTAAATCATTTAATTTGCACAATCTTTTTTTAGAACCCACTAGGGTCGCAGGAAATTCTGCCACTTGTATAGATAATGTTTTTTGTAATTGTGAAGTAAAGGTGAAAATGAATTTCGACTGTCTTGGATCTGATCATTACGGACAAAAAGTTATAATTGAAACTAAGGGATCCAAAGGGACTCAAACAATTACATGCAGACAAATAACACAAAAGAATTTGGCACGTTTTAAAAATAAAATTGAACATAAAATATCTAGTGTCATAGTACCTCAATATGACCCGGACATTGTATGTGAACATATTTTTAATTTAATTGAACATGAAGCTAGCAGTGAATTTAAAACAAAAACATTTTCAACTAGTGTAAAATCAAAGTTTTGTGACTGGGCCACGTTTGGTATTTATAAGTCTAGGGCTAATCTTTACGAACTTTACGAAAAACGAAGCTATATATCCGATCCCTTATTTCATGAACATGTAAAATCTTATTCGAAAATATTTAAAAAGGTTTGTCATACAGCTAAGTCTCTCTATTTAGGTAAAATAATAACTAAATCTAAAGATAAAATAAAAGCCATGGAAAGTAATAAATAGCGAAACTGGAAAAGTTAATTTTCAAAATAGCAAAATAGCTTTAAATATTAATAACAAATTGGTAAATTCCGACACAGAGGTCGCGCATACATTCGAATCTTATTTTACTAATATTCCATTAATTACGACACAGGCTCTAAAATCTTCCCCGTCTGCTGCTGAAACTTTACTAACAGACAATGTTAGATAGTCATCAGCTGTATTTAACTTTAGACATACATCATCAGTAGAAATAATGAAAATATTCAAACAGCTTAATAATAAAAAAACAGAGGATCTATGGGGTATATCTGTTAAAATACTGGATAGTATAATGGAAATTATTGCGCCCTCTCTTGCTTTTATTTTCAATAAATGTATAGATGAAGGTAAATTTCCTAACATAATGAAAATTAGTAAAATCAAACCGCTTTTTAAATCTGGAGATAGGAGTGACCCAATAAATTATAGACCTATATCCATACTCCCAGCACTCAGTAAAATTTTTGAAAAAATAATCCTTATGCAACTTGTCAGTTATTTCAATTTAAATAATTTAATCCACAATAGTCAATTCGGTTTTTCCAAAGGTCGTTCAACTACAGACGCAGGTGCAGAGTTGCTTAGACACGTATTTGCTGCATGGGAAACTAAAATGGATGTGATAGGTGTTTTTTGTGACCTTTCTAAGGCTTTTGATTGCGTTGATCATAATACATTGCTAAAAAAACTTGCTTTTTATAGCGTCAAAGACAATGCTTTAAATTTAATAAAATCTTATCTATCTGATAGAATACAGAAAGTGAAGATTAGCAACGCTACGTCTGACGGGTCACTTGTGCAAATGGGTGTACCTCAAGGATCTATTCTCGGTCCATTTTTATTCCTAGTTTACATTAATGATCTCCCATATGCCATGCAGGATAGATGCGGCATAGTATTATTTGCAGACGATACTTCATTGATTTTTAAAGTTAATAGAATGACTAATAATTATGACGATGTAAATAGTGCTTTGCGGCGTCTCCTGCACTGGTTTACAACTAACAATCTTATGTTAAACGCTAAAAAAACAAAATGTGTTAATTTCTCTCTGTCTAAAAGTTTTAATACTAATTGCAATATTAAATTAAATGACGAATCTCTCAATTTATAGAATCTACTGTCTTTCTAGGAATCACACTAGATAATAAAACACAATGGAGAGATGCACAAATTCAAAGCCTTGCAGCGAAACTAAGTTCAGCAGCTTTTGCCGTGCGTAAGGTTAGACAGTACACTGATACTGATACTGCTAGATTAGTCTATTTTAGTTATTTTCATAGTTTACTCTCTTATGGAATATTACTATGGGGAAAAGCGGCAGATATTAAGAATATATTCATATTACAAAAACGTGCCGTTCGAGCGATCTACTGTATGAAGAGTCGTGACTCATTAAGAGAGAAATTCAAAGAGGTAAATATTCTCACCGTTGCTTCTCAATTTATATATTCAAATATTCTATATGTTCATAAAAATCTTGACTTATTTCCAAAAAACAGCAATATTCATAATATTAATACTAGATTTAAAGACAAACTTGCTGTCCCCAAGTATCGTTTAGAAAAAGTTAATAGGTCTTTTATGGGAATAGGTATAAAAATTTACAATAAGATACCAAAGGATATGTTGGAATTACCTTAAATAAATTCAAAACATCTGTTAAATCATATTTACTGAGCAAAGCCTATTACTCACTAAACGATTACTTGAATGACGAGTGTGCATGGCAATAGTTGTTCATGCACTGAATTTTCATTTAATGTTAGACATAGACAATTAATAATATACATTGTAAATAAACTTGCTTTAAAAAAAAAGTAATTCAATTCTTCTCAATTGGATCTATATACCGAACTGGACGGTAGGGAAAAAAATAAAATTATAATGTAAAAATTTGACGTTCATAAGCGGCTAAAATGTCCTACATGAATAAATGATTTTTGAATTTGAATTTGAATCAAATTGATCTCCATCCTTATGATTATGATCCAAAAAAGATTTTTAGTTTTTATAGTATTCTAAATTTTAGAACTGTCTGATGTACGTGAGTATTACGGTTAACGAAATTCAAATTGATAAAAATTGTCAAAAGTCCTTATCAAAAGGCCTTTTAAATATGATTTAAAAAATGAGTATGTTCTCAATGTTGTTCAAATTGTAAACAAAAATTTTATTTAACTTTTTTTTTAATAAACAAAGGGATTTAAATAAATAAACAAAACATATGAGGCTTTAAAATTATCATCATATCAGCCGTAAACTGTCCACTACTGAACATAAGCTTTCATTGCCTCCACTATAAGAAGGTGTTTGCCAGTAGTTGCCATGCCTGGCAGGCGGTTTGGTAACCGCAATTAATTTGTTGGGCAGCAACATCCCTTTTTAAATATTACATTTTAAGAGGAATGTTGCTGCTTATCCTTCGACCATTAAGTTCCCTTAGTCATCTTTTACGACACTCACGGGAAAGGAAGTGGTGGCCCATTTTATGTCGGACAACAAATGAGACTTTTACATAAGAAATCGAAATAGTCGAAATTATTTTTTTCTTCAATCTTTCTTGTCGAGTAAAAGAAACAATGAAATGTCTATTTGTAAGTAGGAAGGGCTGTAGCTAGACCCAGGTTTAAAGTAGAGCAAAAAATCTTTTTGGTAGGGCAGAAGTCATATTTAAAGGACTTCGAAAAAGTTTCTTGAGACCTTTCATATTAAAATAGGTCATTGGGCCTTTTAAGGTAGGGCATTGCCCTTCAATGCTCCCTCACCCCTAGCTACAGCCATGCAGGTAGGTATCTATCAGAATTTCGATAGTATAATTATAAACGTAAAACTGTAATAAATTAATACTGATTTATTCATTCATGGGTACAAAAAATGATTTATTTTTCAAATCATTGATATTATTACGGATACAGTTTTTAAGAGAAAAAGAGTTAAGACAATAGTTAGACACTTGCATAAGTTTAATATAGACATCGAATTCTTTAGGTACAGGCTCTATTAAAATATTAAATGACTAGACTGGATTTTTACGTATTAAAAATATTGTAAGTATTTAAAGACTAGACTTAGATACCTTGATATTTGTTCGGTCTATTTCTACATCTGAGATCTAGATAGATAGATTATATTGCACAATGCGACTAAAATAAAATAAATAAAATAAAATAAGTGATATTTACACAACTAATAATTTGGCTTACAAGTTAATATTGAATAAAACTAATTTTCAAATGCTGTTATTTGTGAATACTCCGAGTCTAAATTTAATAAAATAATGTAATCACACAAAAGTAGGTACCTAAGTTCTTTAAAATTTTTGTACAATTGAGATTTGTTTTCCTAGATACAAATCTAGGAGAATTATACATACAAGGTACGTAATTTTTTTTACAAAATTTCAATTTAACTTAGACTCAGATTAAGTACTATACGACGATGCATTGTAAAGCTATACTGAAAGAGTCTTGTCCACGAAAAACGTCAGTCGACAGGTAGGTATGTACCCACCTATGATATATCTACTTAGATCATATTGCTTCATATTCGACTACCCTTAATTCCTCTCTTTTTAGTGACACAAACTTTTAAAATTATCATTACAGGGTACTGGACTGAGAGTTAAGGTATCGTTGTAAATTTGACTTGACACAGATATGTACGAACTACATCTATAGCTAAAATGTCAAGACAAGCGTTCCGTGGACATTTGAGCGGGGATCACGAGGGGACAGTGGTCCTCAAACGAGACGATCGACGTTCGAGTTCTCGCGAGACGTCCAATCGTAATCGATATCGGTTGAGTCGGCGACGGAAAAGACCGCGCCATTCTCGGTTCAGATGGCCGACTTCTCGGGATTGTTGGCGTCGCTCACTCGCCGGGAGTGAGGTGCCCTGCGAAGAGTACGCGGTTGAAGGTTCAGAGGCGGCAGATTCGGGCGTTCGATCCTCGTCGGCGAGGAGACGAGAGGCCGAGTCCTCCGTAGAGTGTCCATTCCATTTCTGAAGTACTCTTCAGTACGATCACTGTAGTTCTCGATCAGGGGCGCAGGGTCTTCGTACTCTACGTTAAAGTGGCGGGTTATGGCCAGATCGTCGGGAGGGCCCAGCTTGTAGAGAGGTGGCTCCACGCACTCGTAGTGGTGGTCCTCGGTCTCGTCGTGCGGGTACGTGTCCGCGATGAAGTGCCGCGTCCCTCGTGGGGTCAGGGCCGCCCATAGGACGCGGGAGTCGAGAGCGGCGCCGCCATAAAGAGCGTTGGAGCCGCCTGCTTTCCCAGAGCTCCCTTTGCAGCCTCCTCGAGCCCTGGTATAAAGGAAATACCTTATAGGTATTATTTTAGAGATTAATAAAAATGAATTATATGCCATGAATAAATATTCTGATGTTTTGAAAACATAGAGGTAAGTCTATTTTCGTTAATAATAACGATAATAAGAAAGAAGAAAATCATTATCAGAACATGCTAAAGGGTATTTGGCTTGTATTATTACGCTGACTCAGCAAGTTGAGGTAATCAGAGATTTATTTAATAGGCACTTGGCTTCTAGTTCTTTCGCACTTGTGTGTTGTACTTTATTCGTAAATGGCTTTATGTGGCCCACTTGACCTGCTTTCGTCCCCACCTATCATCCTTTACTGGTGCACCGCCAGCGTATACTGATAGCTAAGGTGGAGATACCATTCCATTTTCGCCCATTAAAAATGTCCACTCTTACGACACTTCGGACATGTATAGAATAACGACAATTATTGTATAATATTGATAAAGGTACAAACTTACTCTCTGCATTTGAGCAAGAACAGCGCAAGAAGTGCAGCTATGCAGAGTACTGCGATGCAGCACGTGATCACCACCAAGAACCATGTGTCATCACTGCCGGCCGGCTCTGGAAGTACCGTTGTTAATAAGTTAATTTTATTTAATTGTCTTCAAAAAATATTGGTACTGTATTTTTTTTTGTGCGTCGCGTATTCCACGCGACATTATATTCGTTGATTATAAACCATTTTTTTTATTTATAATTTTGGCAAATGGCTAGAGTTGCGCATTATGCCAGTAAAGAATAATGCATTTTTTTTTAATTTTAGAACAGTTCATTTTTCCGCTGTGATGTCGGTTCGATATTAGAATTGATCGACGAGTTTCATTTGTTAATTCTAATTAATTTCAATTAATTAAAAAAAATTTAAGTTAATTTCAATTTTATAGTATTTAAATCATATTTTAAAAAATATAAAGATTATTATCCATTCTTCTTAGTTGAAATTGCTTTCATGAATTCAAATTAAAATGATTTTTGAAAAATGTTTAAATTAATTTTACTTGCTTAAAAAATATTCTAATTGTTATTTCTATTGAATGTTCCATTTCTTCGCTTACCATGCCGTGGCAGTTCGTGGTACTCTACTCCTGGGAACAGTGCGTTGTCCTCGTTATTCTGCAGCGGGGGACACTTGGAGGCGCGGCAGGGCGGCGTCAGGTTGGCAGCGTTGGCCAGGAACGCCGGCAGCGGCGGCGGCGGCATGTGCAGGATCGAATCCGGCGGGGGGCCCAGAGACAGGCATTCTGTCCCGCACGCCATCCTGATATTTTTATTATTATTTTTATTTCAGCTGTTAACTGCCCACTGCTGGATATAAGCCTTCCCCATAAGGGGAGTTTACATAGTATAGCTAGTCTACAGTGGAAATATTATTTGTTATATGTAATTGTGTGTTCGGCATAGAATGGGCCACCCCTTCCTTTCCCGTCCCGTGGGAGTCCAAAGAGTCGACTAAGGGACAGCGAGAGATGGGCAACAGCGTCCCTCTTAAAACAACTCTAAAAGCCTGACTGCGGTTGGCAATCCGCCTGCCAAGTGTGGCAACTACTGACAAGACCTCCCAAAGCGGAGACTTATGTTCAGCAGTGGACAGGTAACGGCTGAAATAAAATCAAATGAAATAAAAAAAAAAAAAAAAATAAAAAAGAAATGTACCAAGCCATAATTGCTTATAAAAAAAAAAGTTGTATGTAGACTTCACAAAATAATAAAAAATATAAATCCGATTAAACAAGTCCAGAAAATATATAATTTATAGATTCATGAGATAGTTTTTTTTTCTAACTGTGTATTCTGTTGGCTGCAGATGGCCTTTACAGCTTCACCGAACGCGTGTATAGAAGCGACTGCAGACGGCACTCCAAGATCGCGACAGTATGAAAGGCTTCTAGGCAATCAGGCTTCTAGGCAATCTTACATTAGGAGAACTTGAGTTATTGCAAATAACGCTTTTATTAAGACTACGGAACGCACGGGTTGTAGAATGAACTCACGCAAGTATCTTTGAAATAAATAGATAAATATCACAGAGTCTTGGTTCTAAACAATAGATAATATATCTACATGTAATACTTAATAAATTAATAATAAAAATATAATAAATAAGTAATTAAAAAATAAGTTATTTATTATTTAATTTAATAGTTTATTCCTGTCTCTTATGAAATATGTAATGCGAAATTTTAAAAGTTAACTTGTAAGATAGCCCAAACTAATAAGTTTGTACTAGATTATGTTACATAGGTATTACATATTTATTTATTTAAACTTTAATACAGAATGTAATTCTATGTACATTTGGCGGACTTAACACCGGACGGTATTCTCTACCAGTCAACAACATTAGGCAAACCAAAAAAATAAGTAGGCGGTGTATTATTGAATAGAGAAAAAATAAAGCAATACTTTACATACACAATAAATATATAATCAGACTAATAGAAACATACATAAAGTATATATACATATATCTATGTTATATCTTTTTTTGTAAATACAATAATATATATAAAACGTCCAGATGAAACAAATATATGCTCGTACTAAATCGATCCAGTGTATCTCAAGTGATGTATTTTCCATAGAATAATAACATTTAAATTATCAATTATAGGTATATATTTGTATGTATGTAATATTACAAATATGTATAATAAGAGTATTTTTTTATAAAATAATAATTATATTAAAAAAGGGATCGAATCGCGTTATATAATTTATTTACTTGTCATCAATACCTAGGTATATAGCCTCTCAGGATACTTGCAAATACCTATAGTATCTTATCTACTACAAAGAGAATTAGTTTTAATATATTACAATAAGCGTTTATTTTATATAATTTATTTTAAATATATGACAACAACTCAATTTAATATTATTACACACCTACCTACATTTTTATTAACATAAAGAAATAACACAAACTCGCACATCAACTTACAAAATTATTTAAAAGAATAGCAATATACAACAACATAATATACACAATAACAGAAAAACTTACATTTATATATTATTTACGATTTTTATAACAAAATGGTTGCACTTTACACTAGTTTCAAGTTACACTTGTTCGGTTTGGTCCAGCCAGGGATGCAGGGCGCAGGCGTGGCATCGTACAACGAACTTACCAAACCCGTTACGCGTATTGAAATTATTGCATTAAATAAAATACAAAGCTGCTTTTGTTTAGAAAAGTACACCGCAGAGTAAACACATCATACTATTTGAATGCGAGTATCGCAATATTATCGTTAAATTGTGAACAAAACAATAACGTGGTACAGGGTATTGTATTGATTCGCGCAAGCGCGAGAAGCGATTTCGCGACCCTAAATTAGGGGTATGATGTTAGGATTACGTGAGGGTTGAGAGATAAGCAGCTGTCCCTTTCTTTTGTATGATACAAATGATAAGTGAAGAGTACAATCGAATGGGTATTAAAATATCAAGTCGGATTTAATAAATTACCAACACGTAATGTTCGGTAGTTCATTAAACATCATTTATGAGTAACTTCAATGCAGTCTTAATTACGGTTTATGACTAGATTGAGCATGGTAATAACTTCAAATGCAAATGAGTACTGTGGAACAATTAATTTAACAACTACAGTACAGTGATTTACAAACACCAGAGGGAGATTTCGGACAAAAGTCTTTTGCTTGAGCACCTCTGTCCCATTCGTGTTTCTATCATGAAGCAATTGTGCATGTCTGTGTTTTGGTTTGAAGGGTGGGATATGGCAATTAATTTACAGGGTACAAAGGGATAACACCTGAGTCCTCAGGAATGGCAATGCATGGAGGGTATCATAGGAATCAGTATACTCTCTTATGCCCATATTACTATTCATGTTTATAGGCAACGGTTACTACTTTCCATCAGGTGGACCGTCAGCTTGTTTGCCATTCAAAGAAGCATGAAAAATCCACTTATAAATTGTTGAAAAATTAATAAATATATGAAAATCTGAATATAAAAATCATATTAAATCAAAGATTTTCTTTATATATTATTTGGAACGCTCAGATAGAAAAAATTACAAAAATAAATTGTAAACTCAACGTGAATAGTATTAACTTGAGCGCATTTTCTTTAATCACATTTTATCCCTTCGTATTATCTCTTTTCGTAGCCAAAATGGATTTCAGATTACTTTGTGTTATATGTGTAAAATTTAAGCCACTGCGTATTACTTAACTAAGTTTAATTATACTTTGTAAACGAATTCAAAAAGCAATACGTTCACAAATCGCCAACTTATACCTTTGCCGTTTATGAACCGATTTCGACAATTCTTTTTTCTATCGTTCTGTGTAGGTAGCATAATATTTTATCTTTTATACATATAAATAAAAATGAATCTCTACATGTGTCGATAAGTGCAAAACTCGAGAACAGCTGGACCAATTTATCTGATTTTTCAAAAAAGGTTTCTATGAAAAAAAAATTGGAAAAAACATAAAACCCTATTTTTCTTATCCACCTTCTTGCTATTCTTCATCTTTCTTTCCCATATGAACTGTTCTTAGATGTCAATTTAAACACTTCAATTAAAATATTGATGTCACATCTTTAGGCAGAACGTCATCTGTCGATACAGTTAATATACATATAATAGATAGATAGATAGATAATATATTTGTACTGATTAAAGACACAAATAAAGAAAATCAAAAATAAACATGCACAAAAACAGAGAAAAATAAATTATCAAAAAAGAAAAATGCATAAAAAAGTAACATAAATTTTTTGTGAGTGTGCCACAGTCTTACAAAATGGTCACAATTCTGTATATTGCTTTACCGTTTAAAGGGTAAAACACTGATTTTCTGTTGTCTAAAAGCCAACCGCGAAATTTCATAATAAATATTAAGATATAATATGACCACAGAGGGCGGCACAGCATAGAGGAATGTAATTATACGTGCAGGTGTTTCATTTCATTGTGACGGTACTGCATTGTGACGTCACGACGCGCGAGCGGCTCAGTACTGCGATGAAATTAAATTTACTACGCATCAGAATGTTCAATTATTACGAATTAAATTAAATTTTCTAAAATTGTAGCTTCATATCATCCTGTAAATGGACCGTTAATATTTCAGTGGCTGAAGTATAAATAACTAATGATCTGTATCTATATATACATATATATATGTTCACCAAAAGATTGGCGGATTCATACTTTTGCTTAATTATTAAACTTTGGAAATATCTTTCCAGTCACGTGTTTACTTCTACTTATAGGTAGTTCTGCAGCATTTAAGAAGAAATAATAATAATTATACATATTATATATTAGTATATATTGTATATAGTTTTTAAGTCCGCCTTTTGTATCAGACATTTTTTTGTCTCAATGTGGTCAATAAAGAATAATTAAATAAATAAATAGTTATATGTTAGTACATTTGCAGGCTGTCAAGACTATACAATATAAATTATGATGGCGACTCATATTTGGGGGAAGGGGGGGAAAGGTTTGTTACTAATGGAGATTAAGAATTCCATTGCTAGCAATATACCCAACCAGATCGACCTCCACACAGTCCCCCTGGTTAATTCCTGATGAATACATTATAATAGACTAACTAGGCTGTTTTCACTATCATTTACCACCCTTCGCCGCCAGCGTATACCGTTAGCGCAGGTAGGGTTGCCATTCCATTTTCACCAAAAAAAAAAAAAAAGACTTTAAAAAGATATAATTTTTCAACCGGTGGGTTGTTAACTTGTTTTCCATTTTAAGTTGTATAAAAAACTTATGGATCTAGGCATATACTACCCTGGTACCCTGTCTTGTGTTGTATACACTAGCAGAGTACTAGTTGGGAATATAGCGTATAGCGCAGGCAGGGTTACCATTCCATTTGAACCCCTTAAAAAAAGACTTTTAGCATTTTTATGGCCCAACTAATTATTATGAAATTTGGTATATACGTACAATATGGGATATGGGATGAAAAGGACATAGGTTACTTATTGTCTCGATCAGTGAATTAATCCCGGTCACGCGAACGAAGTCGCAGGTAATAGCTAGCTAGCTATATATATATATATATATATAAATATATATATATATATATATATATATATATATATATATATATATATATATATATATAATAATTTTTTTTATAAATACAACGGAATCATAGCTATGTATTATATGTTATAATTGTTTATATAAATATAATATCATTTACATTACAATTAACATTTTCCGTCCGCGCTCTGGATAAAACTAATAAAACTTGTTTTATTTTTAGGGTTCTGTATATCTAATGAAAAAACGGAATCCTTATAGGATCACTTCGTTGTCTGTCTGTCAAGACCCTTTCTCTTAGAAACGTGTGGTGTCAAGTTGAAATGAATATCATATACTCAGGTCTGCAATCTCTTAAAGTAGTGAAAAAATCAAGCATCTAAATCGACGCAATCAAAAGATATGGCTGTTTACGTTACATTTATATCACATATTTTGACATTCGCAAAGAGAATCAAAACCTATAGGGTACTTCCCGTTGACCTAGATTCATGAAATTTGGCAACAAACAAAATCTTGTAGCATAAGTAAAGGAAAAAATCCGAAAACCGTAGTAGTTTGTAGTTAATTCACAAAAAAAAACGTTTCAAATTTGACGAATTTGTACGGGACCCTCGTTGCGCGACTCCGTCTCGCACTTGAGCGGCTTTTTTTCTATGACTCTTTACCTATCTCTCCAATATAATTTTGTGGCACCATTAGACATGTTAGTTCGGTGTAAAGACATATTTCTATACGTAAACACGTGAAAGGTCAGGCCTTTGAGTGATTTGTCCATTTGTCGAATAATATGCTATTTTAGGCCACTTTTAGGGGAAATATTTGTGAAGGGAATTGTAGAATATATTTTCCTTGCAAATATGTCACTATGAGTACGCGTAAACAAAAATATGGTAACATTAACGGGATTACTTCTAAACAGTATAATCTGTTATGTCCATGGTACTGCTCATGTCTATAGGCGATGGTTACCACTTTCCATCAGGTGGGCCGTCAGCTTGTTTGCCATTCTAAGTTGTATAAAAAATAGAGAATGTTGATGTATCAATCATTAACTGTTTACTGCTGAACATAGCCTCTTCAGGGGGATTTTTCCAGTAGTTGTCACGCTTGGTAGGCCGTTTGGCAACCGCAGTTTGGCTTTTGTTGATGTTTTAAGAGGCTGCTGCCTATTCCACCACCACAAGCTTTCTTAGTTGCCTTTTACGGCACCCTTGGGAAAGAAAGAGGCGGCCTATTCTATGTCGGAAATCAATGAATCGGTCGGAGTTGGAGAATATTGAACAAAAACAAAAAAAAAAAACAAATTTTGATAACTACTATCTATCTGTATTTCTGTCAATCATTACTGAACGATCGTTACTGAATATTATAATTGTGAAAGTGAGTTTGATTGATTGATTTGACTGTAAAGTGAGTTATTGAAGTCGCTGGCGGAAGACCCAGAAAAAAAACCAATTTTATACCATAAAATAACTAAATTTAATCATAAAATTAATTGTTACAATAATAGGTGTCTTCAGATCGATGTGTGATCTGTAAGTGAAGTCATATCGAATCAAATACAAAGGAACTGGGTAATTTTGCTGTGGGAATTGAAGTGCTGACTCGATGCAGGTGTTTTTCTTGGTAGCGCCTTCTTGCGTCAAGCTAGGTGGTCCGATCCGATCGCCGTTGAATGTGTGTCGTAATACTTTACTATAACAAGTGTCTCAACGGCTTAACCAATCACTATAAAATTTGGTATGCAAGAAGCATATATCACAGGTAAAAGCTAGAATTAAATAATTTAGGATTAAAAAAAAATTAACCTTAATTTTAATTAAAAAAAAAGACCCGCGAGGTTTCTCTATAAAGAACATGTTGAAATGGATCAAAATTAGTGAATACATTTTGCTTACCATAGTGCCGAACCGATTTTAGCGGTGCTTTTTCTGATCAAGTTTGTTCTCGTGTTGCTATTAAATTATCTTATTAAATAACATCCTAATAAATTACCACAATCGTAGTATACCTATATTTATTTAACTTTATAAAAA